GAATGCGTGCTGCATGTCAGATTCTGAGCAAACTGAGGTGCAGAGGATGGACCTCACCCTTGCCTTTGTGACAGTGAGGAGGAGGGATGGGGCTGGGTTTAGGGTACATTTTGGAGGCAGAGCTGATTAGAGGTTTTGATGGATCGGATCTGCAGGGAAACCAGGAGACATCAAAGTGGCATCTGTGTCTGGGGCCTGAGTAACTTGGAAGCAGTCACAAACACCCACCACTCCCCGAAAACCTGAGTAATACACAGCTACTCACCCCACCATCATACCTGGATTCTAGATCGAGAGAACGCTAGGTACAAAGGTGAGAGCTGGGAATGATGGGATGGGGGCTAAGAATGGGGCTACAAGCCTAAAATACCCCAAGAACCCTGTGGCCACAGGATGGTTCCATCAGCAGGAGAAACTGGGTGAATTGCAGTATTGCCTCTTCCTTGCTGTGTGATCTTGGTCAAATCACTCAGCATCTCTGAGCCTTATCAGTAAAACAGGAATAAAAACAATCAGTACTGGTAAGATTGCTGTCATTATTCACTGAGACTTTAATTCATGGGGAACACTTGGCATCAAGCCTGAAAGAGATAGTAAACGCCTCCATTTCAAGCTATGATTATGATTCTAGGTAGAATGTGGCCAGGTTGCAGAAAACTCCAGATGCTAGTGTCAGGAGTTGGCGCATTACCCTGTGGAGTCAGAGCCTGGATGTTTTTGAGCAGAGAAAGAACACAAGGAAAGCAGCCAGTCAGCTCCTCTCCAGTCCCTGCGGCATCCGGAGCCTTGGAGCCGGCCCCGGGTCAGCGGTGACAAGATCGGCCACGAGGCCAATGACCTCCAGCTCCCAGGGCCTTCCTGCTGCCCCAGTTCCGGACCCAGGCAGTAGAAGCGCGTCTGCCCCCCGCCCCCAGCATCCCTCCGGGCAAAGCCAGATAGATGGTTTAATAATGCAGCTGCCTGGCTGACCTCGTAGTGGCCGCTGAGCCAGCTGAGACTCACGCCACCCCCCTGCTGTGGCTGCAGGGCCCAGGCCTGAGACTCCAGCAGAATCCCCGGACGACAGAATTCTGGAGCCCCATGGAAGGACCCACATGGCAGACACCCCCACGGTGCAAGCAGCCTTTTCCTCGTGGGTAGCAGAAGCTGGGATGCATAGAGCCCCAAGCCTCCTGATCCCCTCCAGCTGTCCCTGGGGGGTGTCTCAGAGGAGACCCTGTGCCACTGGGAGGAGTTACTTTTGTGCCTGGTTAGGGGCTCGGCTCCCAGGGCACAGGCCGGGTCAGACATGACTGGGCCCGGGAGCTGCTCACATTTTAGTGGAAGCACCAGGGGTATCAACAGGGGGATCTCTCATCCCTCCCCTGTCCCCAGGGGATACTCCAGGCCTGCTCTGCTATGGCTGTCAGGGAGGCAGGCTGGCCAACCTCACCACCCAGGAATCTCAGCTCCAGGCCAGGCAGGCAGGGTGCCATCAGCACCCCTAATGAGGCTCCCTGGGGCCCCTCCCATAATTGGATCTCTGGACCAAAGAGTCTCTACCTGGACAGTTCCAAATATCCCCCAGTGTATGGCCATGGCCTCTGGCCCTCACAGGTACCCTCTTGTCTAACCTCAGCAGGGACTTTACATATGTTCCTCAGGCCCCACTGGGCCTTCAGTTGCCCTTGACTCATGGACTATGAGGATTATAGACTCTCAGAATCAGAGAATCCTATGGAATTAGATCCTCCAGCTACTGTATCCACACCCCTAGCTCTGTTTTCACCTTTGCTTGCCTGGATGCAGAACATGGAACTTCCTCAGTTTTCCCAAATATCATTGATTGACCTCCAGCCCACTGGCCCCCAAGATGGCTCTTGTTGACACCTTCCTCCTGGAATTCACACCCTGCATCGTCCCCTCCCACAGTGCACAGGGCACACCAGTGCAACCAATAGGAAATTGCCTGAATGACAGTGTATAACTTCTGAGGTTAGGTCATGCAAGAACTGTGGCTTCCTCCTTGTTCTCGTTCTGGGAGCGGCAGCCGCCATGCTGTGAGGACACTCGAGCAGTCCTGTTGACAGGTCCTTGTGACAAGGAGCTGAGACCTCCTGCCAACAGCCGGCACCAACTTGCCAGCCATAGGAATGAACCGTCTGGGTAGCAGATCCTCCAGGGCAGCCTCCAGACGAGTGCAGCCTCAACCAAACACCTTGACAGCAGTCTTAGGCAAGGTCTTAAGCCAGAATCATCCACTCCCAAATTCCTGGACCACAGGAACTGCGAAATAACCACTATTCTTTTGCTGTTGGAAGCCGCTAAGCTTTGAGGTAATGTGTTCCACAGCAATAGATGACTGATATGATAAGCATGTAGGTTTTTCTGAAGAGGGTGGGGGTGGGGAGGCTGAAGTGGGGGGAGGGGCTTACATTGCATGCTCTGCAGCAAAATAACTGAAAAATCCCCTTTCGAAATCTGTGTCTTCTCCAAAATTCCTCCACAGCCAGACGTCCTCTGGGGGCTTTCCTCTCACCTTCCTGCTGACCTGCCGTCTCCTCTCCTGCCTCCCATGCACTTTTCCTCAAGCTCTAGCTCCAAACGCTCTCATCCTTATTAGGTGCAGCTGTGATGTGCTCCCTAACCCTGACCTTCCACCTGGCATCCCCTGACCTGTCACAGTGCCCAGCAAAACCAAACGCCCCCAGCTAAGAGGCCCTGAGAAGGCAGCTGGAATCTATCTCTTTATACTAAATTTGGGATGATTCCATGATGGGCCAGGGGCAGGGGTTTTAGTGGGGAAACTTCATTATTTTTCCCTCTGGGTTCCCTGTCTCCTCATTGGTCCTTAGTGATCATAGCTCGCGTTTCCAGCATTGGAAGCTCAGCAGAAAATCTGATTTTTGGTCTGAATCCAAAAAAAGGAATATGACACCCCATCCACGGTCAGTGTGTGTGTGTTTCTCTAAAAGAATCACTTAACCTAATTTTCTTAGCATCAACTGGAAATGCCACGCAGACTAAGTGAAAAAAAAATTCAAGTGCAAAGGGCAGATCTTGTTTTTTACCTTAAACAGCACAGGAAGCTTTTTAGCAATTTATGGGTTCCTCTGCCTGTCTGTCTCTCTCTCCTCTGTTTTCTAAGCCGTCAGAAAGGAAGCTGTCCTGGAAACATGCGGTGATACGGCCAGGGCAGTAAGGTCATTTGGATGTGACCACATTTGGTCAACTCAGGAAAAAAGGGCACTTGGTGGGCTGTGAGAGGCAGCTCTCAGGAACTGCTGGAAGATCCCAGAGCCTATGAGGGTCTGGGATTTGGGACAGGGGTCCAGGCAGCTGGAAATGCCTGTGCATCATCTCGTGCTGAGGCTACTGGGTTGGTTTTGCTTCTGTTGTTTTTTCTGTCCGTGCATCATTCTGCTCAAGACTCAATTAGTTCAGCCGTGGGCTGGGGGAGGCACTTTGACTCAAATTCCACCAAGACTGTGCATGGTGGTGGGGAAAGAGGAAAGTGGGAGGCTGGTGGGAAGGGGGATAGATGTTGGGTTCCCAGGACAAAAGCCCCTAATGTTCACAATTTTATGTGAACATTTTATGAGAATATTAATGAGAATAATGTACGTTAAGGACCCTGCCTGCCCTGAGCGAGCCCCATACCAGGTAGCTACTATGAGAGGTGATGAAGTGAGATGTAATTCGGGGGAGGACACATGTGAGAATGAATAATGATACGATGTGATGCGCGCTGTAACTAAGGCCTACACAGACTGTTCTGGGAGCCAGGGGAGGAAGAAGTAACTTGGCCAGCTCAGCTTAGGGATGGTCAGGGAAGGTTTCACTGAGAAGGCGGACTTTGAGCAGTATCTGATGATAGACTGGAAGTAGACAGTTGGGGAAGGAATATGAAAGGAATAAAGTCTTCCAGGCTGAGGGAACAGCATGATCAAAAGCACAAAGATGTGGAGTTTATGGGGTGAGAGTGTCATGGCATGTTCTGGAAAGAGGAGATACTGGAGTCACTGGGACCCAGAGCCTGTATGAGGTGATACAAGACGATGCTAGAGACGTAAGTAAGGGCTTGAGTGCAAAGGGCCTTACTTGGGCAAGGTAAGGAGTTTGGGTTTTATTCCCTAGCAGGGAGGGTGTACCCTTCATCTCTGTGTTTGCACCCAAGGCAGACATCACCAGCTGATCACGACACTTTCTGCAGAGGGAGCTGCTGCCAATCAATTGGCATTGTCATGAAAAATGAAACGAACTGCATCCCTGCATGGGCTCTGGGGAGACACTGGAGGGGTTAGATAGATGGGTGATGAAGGAGGCTGCTGCAGGTGTTCAGGTGAAAGATGGCAAGGCCTAACATGGGACAATGACGACAGGGATGGACTTATTGCTGCCTGGTTTGCTGTATTTCTGGACCTGTGCTAACCAACATGGTGGCCACTAGCCACAGATGGCCATTTAAATCTAAATTCATAAAATCAAAATAAAATATTCAGTTCCTCAGTCCCACTAGCCACAACGTCAAGCACTCAATAGCCACCTGTGGTTAGTGGTTACTGTATTAGACAGTGCAAATATATAACATTTCCATCACTGCAGACAGTTCTGCTGGAAGGCGCTGGTCTAGGGAAGCCCAGTCAGGGGGTACCCACCGTGACCCTCAGTTAGCTCAGGCCAACCCCATCTTCCGTCTGGTGGAGGTGACTAAGTTAAGAGTCTGAAAGTCTTGCCAATTTATGTCTGCCTACCAAGGGCAAAGTCTCTGATGGGAGAATCTTTGAACGTTTCAGAGTTTTAAACCATCTCAGCGCTAGTTCACCAGACCTGGAGGTTCCAGGGGAAGGAAGTTCCCATGTGGTGAGCTCCAGCATTGTGCTGAGGAACAAGGCTGCTTCTCTCTCTTTTCTAAAAAATTTATTTTATTTTTTTTTTCTTTTAAAGGCTGCTTCTCATATTCACACTTCACAAAGAAGGAAACTGAGGCTCAGAGAGGGGTGTGATTTGTCCTTTGGCAGATGACTGGGAAAGTCACGCAAACAGAACCGGAAGAGACTGTTTTGCCGTCCGCTGCCTGGTACTCCTTGGGGGTCAATGCTCAGTGTCTCGGGCCAGAGGAGATTAGGTGAGCGTCCTCCAGTGCCCATGTCTGCAGGCCTCTGCACCGGAGAGCCTCAGCCACAGGGGCAGATTGGGGAATTTTCTGCAGTTGCGCCCTACATCCACCAGAGGGCGCAGAGGCCGTTGTCGCTCCGCCTGACATGGGCGGGGTGGTGGGGGACCGCTCGTACAGCAAGGACTTTGGGCTGGGACCCTGCTTCAGGCCCAGCCCTGTCCAGGAACGTACAGTGTGTTCCATACGGCCCCTGCCCTCTAGGAGAGCTCAGTGTAGAGAGCAGAGACGACATAATGGCTTGTTTGGCTCTGCAGCAGTGGGCCTTGAAGGGTGGATAGGAGTATGCCAGGCAGCCTCGAGTGTAGTTGTGGAGGGCAGAGTTGGCATGCTCAACAGTCTGTCTTCTACTTGGAGAAACCATGACCTCGGTAGCCTGCGTCCCATGGCTTGTCAGCTCTCCTAGTCCCACTCCGAACCTGCTTTCCTGTTTTCAGTTGACAGACAGGAGGAATTTCTGAACAGACGTTCTTTCTGCTCTGGTAATACCTAACTCTGTGGAGTTCCCTGCACACACACCCCAGGTGGTTTCATGCCTCTGTGCCTTTGCACAGGCTGTTCCCACAGCCTGGGACATCCTTCTCCACCTTCTTCAGTTGACCAACTCCTACTCATCCGTCAAGATTCAGCTCAGGCAATGGCTTTTTCCAGGGAGGCTCTCCCATTCCTGGCCTTGATGAGATGCTCCTGCTGGGAGTTCCTGCAGTCGGTCTGCTGTGCACTACCTGAGGACAGGCACTGGCGCATGCGACCCCATGAAAGTGATTGAGATACACAGGGCCTGCTCCAGGCAGGGCTTCAACCGGTAGCAGGTGTGGAGAAGGCTCCGGTTTCTTCTGCAAGTGACATAAGCCAAATCTCACCAGGCACTTGTGTGCCCAAGTGCAGGGGGTACAGACTCTGGACGCCAGAGCTTCTTGCTGCATCTCCTACCTCTGTAGGTGGCGCAGATGTGTGTTTATGGGGGGTGAAGGGGTGGGAACGGTGGCCAGGGAGGAACTCGAGCTCAAGGGACTTAGGAGGTTTCTCTGGGCTGCAACAGAGCCTAGTGTCCCTCTGGGCATACTCCCTGAGGGGTGGGGAAAGGTAGTGAGCAGCAGCCCAGAGTCCTGGCCCAAGGACAGAGAGACCTGGAGTCTAATACTATCTCTGCTATCAAGCTCGCTGTATGACCTTGGGGGAGTCACTGCTCTCACCGAGCCTCAGTTGTCTCGCCTGTAAAATGGGAATGCAGCACACACACTTTT